ATGCCAAGTGTTTCAGGCTGGGATGTGGTTTGAAGGCACTGATAATGAATAAATGTGTTAAAGTGGAATTAAAACCTAAAGGGGAACTCCACCTTTCTTTACATTTCTGCATAATTCAGTCTTTGAGATTTAAACAAGGTCATTCAGAGTGTTTTAAAGTGAAATGGTGCATTGTAGAGAAACTTACAAACTCTTCACAGTGTTGTTGATAGGAACCAGAGGTTGCGACGTCTACAGCACAACTGTACAACTATTTTATATTGTCTGTAAAATGACCAGTACATGTAGAAATGTCTTCTAAGTTTTATATGTAATGTTCATAATGGTACAATGGTGGTTACTTTGGTACTAATTGGGCGCAGAAAACCTCTCTGACTTGAATAGATATTAAAAAATACATTTTAGGGCAAAAGTTCCTCTCAGAACCATCAGAGAACAATGTTTAGGTTGTCAGGCAATGTATGTGTGAACACTTCGTGTAATAATTGTCTATGATGTAACTTTGGATTATTAAACGCTTCGGACGTCTGGTTCCCATCTCCCCTGCCATGAATGATTCTGACTTAGTAGGTTACTCTGTCTATCTAATTTCACATCAGACCACTCTAAAAGACTTTTAACATCTTGATGACTAAATTATGCACAGAATTTGATAAATCAGTGGAATTGTGAATTTTGGATAATTAGGCTATTCTTTTTTTTTTGTTGTTGTTCATTAATGATGTAAAGACGGCTGTCATTGTCGCTAAAATGAAAATTAACCGGCGCGATCATTATGAATGGGGAGTTTTTTGGTCTCTAATTTGAGTCTCTTGTTGTTTCTGGTTTTGGTCTAAATTGGATCAGGTTCGGACAGAATTTTGTTGGGATACAGTCAAGTTTAAATTCAAAATTTGGTGTTGCTTTTTTTTTAATTAGTTCCCATTTGATTCTACTCTTTTCTCTCTGTTATCAGGTGGCTGCCAAAGTGAAGCACTTTTTCAAGATGTATTCAGTCAACAGGCACAAGATGACTACAGTGACACCGTCCTACCATGCTGAGAGCTATGGCCCTGACGACAACCGATTTGACCTCCGTCCCTTTCTCTACAACACCCGCTGGTCCTGGCAGTTCCGCTGCATCGATCATGAGGTTTGATATGCCCATGTTAATGTTTTGTCTTCTTCTTTTTTTTCCAGTTTTCTCCCCAATTAAGGCGTAAGCCATTCCACCCACTTGTTAGGACTCACCCAATCACATGATACCACCAGCGCTAGGAGGGCGAAAGCTAGTACAGGCTTCCTTCGAGACCTGTGAAGCGCCACCGCATCTTTCTGAACGTCCACTGATGCAGCGTCTTTGGACAGCTGAAGGCTGTTGGAGGAATCTGCCAACCCAGAGAGAGTGAGGCCAAATGTGCTGTGGCTGTAGCATCACCAGGGATCAAACTCGCGATTTCTTGATGATAGGGCTGACACGTAGATGGCTGCACCACTCAGGAGCCCTCTACTTTTGTTATTTACCCTGTGCACTAATTCATGCACATTAGTTTATCCATTGTTCTCCTGCGAGCACTGTCCCGAACAGGCTGCTGAATTATTGCCAGCTTCAGCTGTGTGCTTTGCTTGTTAATGATACTTCACACTTGATGTACTTTAGTAATAAACCAATTCATGCTTTATCAAGATAACCACCAAAAAACATGCAATTTGACTATATTTGATTAAGAAGGCACTCTACAGTCGCAGAGTGGTAGCCACATACAGTGCGCGAGCAGCTGGTCCTCACTGTGGAATTAAGGATGGTTCGGTCTGTGTAAATGCTGTTAAAAAAAACGTTAGTGTTTTATCACATCACTTTGAAGGCACTAATTTTAACACATTTTATGGTTAACTGGACAAAGAAATGTGCTAACAAGTCATAAGAACCATGTTTCCATCCAAAAGATCAAAAATGCTGTAAGAGGTTAGAAATCATCTGTAATATTTTATGAATGTTGACTTTTTTACTTAACTTACTGAAATATTGTGAAAACCTGCATTGGCAACATTTCTTTCAGGTGCTTTTTACAAGAAGTACAAAAGTACAAAGTACAAAGCATGCTGGAGAGGTGGAGCTGGACTGGGGGGGGTGAATCAATCAATCAGTCAATCAATCAGTGACCAGCACAATCACTAGACCAATTCTCAGTTAGGAGCAGCAGGTGAAATGCTGATATAGTCACATGCAAAATCTGCCTGAAATGTGCAACCAGTTACAGGTTGGGAGAGTGGGCCAGAATTGACACTGACTATGTAAGAGACTGATGTGATCCCGACCTGACAGGACTGATGCTATTATAAGACAAGAGGACGTACAAGTATTAGAAAAGAAATGATGCATTGTCACTAATATTTTGTCCGGCGAGCTCATAATCCAACATAGATCTGAAAGGATGATGGATGTTTGCTGGTGTTTGGAACTTTTCCTCACGATCTCAAACATGTTCTCTCTTTCACAGGTTTCCATGATGGAGGGTGAATACGTGGAACCTGTCTAACGTCCTTTCTTAGTGACGATCATTTTAAGATTCTACTTGCATCGTGATTTACTGGAATCCTGTTAACTGTAATCCATGTAACGTTTTTAAGACTGTTGTCCTTACTTTGATCTTCACACTCAGTTTTACAAATCTTTTGTACTGTTTTCTACAAGGTTAATACAAAATAAAGCAAACAAACAAAACATTTGGGTTGCAGTTGTTTTAAAGATTTGTAAAAAGGATAGGCAATAAACCAGCATATTGCTGCTGTTGGAAGAAAACCTCGTATCTCCATTTTTTTTGTGTTTCAGTTTTTGACATAATTTGAAAATGCCTGTTGCCCTTTACATTGTATGTAAATTTTATGATGAATGGACCAGAAGAAACAGCCCAAAATGACTTGGAAAAAAGTCTGGTTCCATTGACTTACATTGAAAGTAAAGTAGGTTTTTTAACCTGTAAAGTTACCATTTTGGAGATACGAGGTTTTGATCCGACAACAGTGATATAAATGAAGCTACACTCAGATTTGGGGATACTCTGTCTTACTCTGTCAAAACTTGGTGAAGGTTGTGTCTTCCGGGGATATGAATGAACCGAGTCCGTGCATGAGACGTCGATATGTAAAGACGTATGACGTGGTCTGAAAAACGCCCACAAAATCTGACCTATTGGCTCTGACTTTTAAGTGATTATCTCTAGTTTTAAAGGGTGACTAGCAAGAGCGCATAGACACCATATTTAGGCTTTTTTTGTCTCAATTATGCTACTTTCAATTTTCTTAACAAAATCTTGCATAGTGCTGCTTTAATGTGTAGTTATGTTTCTAGAGCAGGGGAGTCCAATCTTACCTGCAAAGGGTCGGTGTGGCTGCAGGTTTTCACCCCAAACAAGCTGAAGCACACCTGATTCTACTTGTTTAATCAGTCGGCCTCAGTCTTCAAACATTTCATCAGGTGACCTCCTGCCTTGTTGGAGTGAAAACGTGCAGCCACACCGGCCCTCTGAGGATAAGACTGGACACCCCTGTTCTAGAGGAAGGAATATTAACTGGTGGTTAATCAACTTTATCAACTCTGTTAGGTCATTTATGATTTACTACAAATGTATGTCAACATCACACATTCTTCATCTGAGATACGATCTACACTGAGTGTGAATGCAGGAAGTCTTGATTTGATTGACTCCAAACCACATTTGTACAAAGATAATATAAATAGCTGCAGTGTTCTCCATCTATGTGAGGGGGTGAGGGGGCCTCTAAGGACGCTTTCCCTGGGGCCTTGTGAGCCCACGATCTGTTCGTGAACAAGGCCTTTATGATGAGTGACTCGAGAGTCACCTCTGTCTTAAAGCCCATGCTTTTTATATACCTCATTTGCTTTAGTGTTTCCATTATTTGGTCCATTGCTTGCATATTCATCACTGATTGAGTAGAAACTCAATAGGTTTTCAAAGAGGCTATGAGGTGTGTGAGTGTGAGTGTGTGTGTGTGTGTGTGTGTGTGTGTGTTTGTGCTCAGGATGTGGATGATTCTGCGGTTTTAAAATTGACTTCCTTCACAAAGAAGTGTGAAACGGTCAGGACCCCTGACATTCAGCCTGAGAACGTCATGCTATCCCTACCATGCCTTCATAATTTCCTACTATACTGGCTTGCTTCATTTATTTCTTTGTTCATTTTCTTGGCCAGTTCTACATATGTATAATTTATTAATTTCATGTTTAAGCAAACAAGGCTTTACTGGCATTTTTACAGTAAAGACATCATAACATTTGCAAATGCATACAAATACTTGCTAATCTTGCAACAAGGTTACACAAAGTTCAAATCAATTTTATTTATATGAAAGTTTTTACAGTAGACTTGCACTTAACATCTATGGAGCTCTTAAGGTGACATGGAGATTATTTTTAATAAGACGTCACCACAAATTAAGCTTCTCATAACTTGTCACCCTAATGTATCAATTTGTGGGCTCAATATAGTAATTTGTGTATTCAATACAGTAAATTGTGGTCTGAATATATTAACTTGTGGCCTCAATATATTAATTTGTGGCATCAATATATTAATTTGTGGCCTCAATGTAGTAACTCATGGCCTCGTATATTAATTTGTGGCTTCAGTACAGTAACTCATGGCCTCAATATATTAATTTGTGACCTCAATATAGTAAATCATGGCCTCAATATATTCATTTGTGAAATCAATATAGTAATTCATGGCCTCAATATGGTAATTTGTGGCCTCAATATGGTAATTTGTGGCCTCAATATAGTAACTCATGGCCTCAATATAGAAATCTGTGGCATCAAAATATTAATTTGTGGCCTCAATATACTCATTTGTGGCCTCATCATAGTAACCCCTGGCTGCAATATATTAATTTGTGGCTTCCATGTAGTAATTCATGGCCTCAATATATTAATTCCTGACCTCAATATAGTAACTCATGGCCTCAAAATATTATTTTATGGTCTTAATATAGTCATTTTTAGCCTCAGTATATTAATTTGTGGCCTTATTAAAAAAATAATCACCATGTCACGTTAGGGGCTCCGTAAACATCTATACTTTTTGAAATGTTTTGGAAGAAGTATTTTGGAGGGAGACACTTTTCTCTACACTGTCAGCCACAGATGTTATTACGACAGGCGGTAAAAGTTCTTGGACAAACGGGTCGCGTGCCAATAACACTGAGTCACGCGGCGTTTGTAAGCACTACTGAGCGGCCAGATTTCTCACAAAACCGAGGAGGTACAGGAGCACAAACACAAGCGGGCAAACGTGACATATGAGACTGGAACATGGGCGGAGTAGATTAAAAACAGCCCTCCCGTTGTTGTCCTGAACAGAAAGCTGGAGTTGCTGTCGTCAGCAAAGGTAGGAGCGAAACTGTTCGCGTCCTGTGAGGACCCCCTCTTTCTCTTTCTCTCTCTCTCTCTCTCTCTCTCCTTTCCTCAGAAAGCTGACGAAGGAGTGATATTTCCCTCTTTTTACGATACATGTCCCACGCCCGGGAGTGACCGCTGTTACATTCCTCGACCTGCAGACAGGTTTGACGGTGTCTGGAGTTCACAGAGTTCATGGAATCGGAACCGCTGTTGACCGGGAGCGTGAGCCGGGGCTCAGTGGACTATGGGTCTCGACACGGCAGTCATTCCGACGCGGAGTCCGCGGAGCCTCCAAGGACAAGAACCCCCTCCTATACAGCCACTGTCCATGAACGTAAGTTCACTTTAAGAGACTGCCTGAGGCGAGTAAGCTCAACTACACCTGGCACTGGTTTCAAACTGTTGGTGTGTTCAAGCTTACCGTACCCTTCAGCACGGCGGGTGTGAGGGAACTCCTCAGACTTTGGCGGACAGAGCAAATTCAACGTTTCGTTCTCTCCAGCTTGCTTTCTCTTCTGGCTTCTTATTTCAAACTAGCATTCGCGCAAAAACGTGGCCAAAGTTCGCCTGCACTGGTTGTAGAGCCAAACAATTCGTAACGTTGATGTTCAGAGGAAAGCTTTCTTAATTATGAGACTGAAGTTGGCTTCCTATCTACCAGCTTGTCGTTCAAATTTTCCGGTCCACCTTAAATGGTGCAGCAGTTGCACTCTAACGCCTGAGGCGCCAACAGGGAACTGCAGCACCGTTTAAGGTGGAACGAGTAGCTGAGTTCAGCATCGTTTTATAATTCCTACAGGCCTCAACAAGCAGGCTCACATTTCCTTGTTTTCGAAAGTGAAATGTGGTGTCCACTTCTGAGTTGTGGCGATAGAGTATTACCAGTTTAAAAATAGACCGACAATTTCTGTAAGAGGTCATTTGATAAGTGAGGAACCTTTAAGCTGTCGTAACGAACGCTGACAGCTGAAATGCAACATGGGATGAAGTAAATCTTTAGATTACGTATTGAAACTGAACCCATTGCGCTTCTAGCATGTTTTCCTTTTGCTGTGCACTTGGATAAAGTGACCTTGTTGCACTTCTGGCTGAAGTTACCAGAGTTAGAGACATTATTGGTGATTTTTTTGAATCCTGATATGATGGCTTATGGTAGAATTACTATCTGTGGGTTAGTTCTCAGTGTTACTAGTACAGATATGCCAGGGAGGAGCGCCCATTTCCATGTGGAAGTGTCTGTTCTGTCATACATCTTCCAGTATGTATCTGGGGGAAGACTGTGACTCATACAGTAAGATGAGAGTCTGTGTTTAGAAGTGTTTGTTAACAGCAGTGCATAAGCAGGCAAACCTAATGATAACTGTGGTGGCAGCTTGTGTAGATGATTTGTCTACTCATCCTCCAGAGGCATAGTATTATCCGTGCCTGCCTTATGGAAAGCTAGCAGTTATGATTTTTGCCTCAGCAGCACTGAGACTCTTTATGCTGTGTTCTACATGTTGCTGCTGTCAGAAAAAACCTTGCATCTCCAAAATGATAACTTTTACAGGAGAATGAAAAAACATACTTTACTTATAATGAAAGTCAATGGAACCAGACTTTTTTCCAAGCAAATTTTGTCCATATCTGTTGGTCCATTCTTCATGAACGTTACACACAACGTAAAAGGCAACAGGTATTATCAAATTATCTCAACAGTTGAAAAACAAAAATGGAGATGGAGATACGAGGTTTTTGTCTCTGACCACAGCGACATTCAAACCCGGCCCCCATCTGACAGATAAGACAGCCAGACATATGCATGCTACGTAATTCAGTTTCACTTTGAAATCATCATACACTCTGCCTTCAAATTTGGCACACCAGTCAACTCTGAACATAGCGTAAAGAGAGGCATAGAAGGCAGACAGTGAAGGCGTTTAGAGGAAATGTTCACATACTCTACTGTCTTACAGTCCTTGTGCTTGAATGCTTTTCGGGAACTCGGTTCAGCCTGGTTAACTGTAGAGTTCAGATCTTTTACCACTGGCATTTCATCATCATTCTTTGATATATTTGCAGTTCTCTAAGGATCAGTTCATGGTTTCGGTGTTTTATGATAGTTACAGGAACACCATGCCAGAGACCTGGAGTTACATCCTGTTTTTAAACCAAAGCCTTTGATTTCACTACGAGCGTTTGGACATCCTGGTTGATGATCTATACAAGCTATCCAGGAGTTAATACAGCTCTTGTAAACCTTCTCTTGCAGTGCATACTTGAAGACCTGAGAGCAGTGTCTCTGAATTAAAGCAGCTCTCCAAGGGAGACAGGACTGAAGTTCCTCCACAGTGATGTGAATTATTAACAGATATTGAACTATAGGCTGAGACAGGATATAATCATTGAAGTTAAAGGTCGGAGGAGAGAAGATGAATACATATATAAATAAATAAATAAAATTACTCTGGTGCTGTAATATGAAATACTGCAATCACAGCGTGTTCCATAACTGGCAGCAGCCCTATAGAAATCGTCTTATCTGTCCATCTGCCTGTCTGTCTGTCTATCCAAGTTTGTTTTTCCTTTTCCCTAACTATACCAAGACATAGCATCAGGTCACTTGGCTATATTAAGTCACCTAATAACTTTTGGAAGTGAATCTACAACTTTGGGACTAATATCAATAATGTTTTTTGAGGTCCGAGATTTTCCCTTATTTTGAATCAGAAACGTTCTAACAAGCTATGGCCATGGATATGAGAGTACACATGGATATGAGATTTACTGTATTGTTCCTGACAAGCAAATTAAAAAATGTTTGCAATGTATTCTTTAAAAGACTGTTACGATTAGCTTATCGAATATAGTGCTAAAATGAGTGTGTTTATCAGGGTAGGGTAGCATTCAAAGGTAGTAGAATTAAAATTGTTCTTAAATCGTTTTTCTGCTGTTTATTCATGCATAATTTTTTTGTTTGTTTTTTGGCAAGATGATGGAGACCTTTATATCCAGCAAGCGGTTGTATTCATTGAGGATGCCATTCAGGTAATAAAAATAAAATACCTAAGGCTACGTTCACATTACCAGGTTGAAGTGGCACAAATCCAATTTTTGCCCTAATGTGACTCAGATCTGATGTTTTCAGAGCTGTGTGGACACGCAAATCTGATCTTTTCAGACCTGAGCCACTAGATTGGATACGTATCCGATTCTTGGCCATGCGACCTTAATGTGACACTCAGATCGAAATTCATGTGCTTTTTTTTCCACTGCGTGTGCACCATCATTCAGCGTTACCATGGCAACAGCGCCAAACAGAAGTTAAAGCCTGTAAATGGTGGAAAAGCAGCACATCTCACCTTTTTCTCCTTCGTCTCACTCTAATAATGAACAGCTGAGAGCTGATAAGAGTTAATTATCTTCACAGCAAAGCTCGTTCTGCTCGTTAGTTTGTTTGATGATAACACGTGATGCACATAATTTATTCATGTGACACTACTGATTAAGATGTGCGTATGCGAGTCATTTCAGGACGCCGGTTTGTTTACATTAATGACAGATTTGAGTCACTTACCTAAAGCAGTGTGAACCATCACGTCAGAGAGAGCATACTTCAGCAAAAAATCGGATTTGAGCAACGAGGCTTGTAATGTGAGCATAGCCTAAAGCTGTTTATTTGGGTTGTTTATTTTGTTCTTTGTTGTACGTCTTTGTGGTGTGTTGATTGTGTCTTTTTCTTGACAGTATCGGTCCATCAATCACAAGGTTGATTCTGGATCTTTACGGTTATACAGATGGTACTACTCCAGGATATGTCAGTGGTAAGCAAGCAGCACAAGAAATGCAACATCCTTCCATTGTTTTATTTCAGATCTACTTCTGAAACCATTTATTGTTTGGATCACGAGGATTGTTAGAGGCCAATGATTTTATTCTGTGTTAATATGACTGTTGACTTTAATCAGCAAATATTTTTATCTCTCCTGCATTTGCTTGTAAGTGTAGTTTTCCATAATCATGTAGATACACATCACCATCAATTTTAGGTGAATTGTTGAATGCATTTTCTTTGTTGATGACTTTAACCCATTTTCTGTATGTTTTGAAGGGGTCTTGGTTTCACAATTGCTATGATCCTTGCTCTGGCCTTTGTGGAGAAACCCTCATCTATCTCTTACACGTCGGACCCTCGCTACCGGCCTACACCGTGGGAGCCCCCATGTGGGCTGACAGAAACTATAGAGATAGTCTGCCTCTTAATCTTTATCGCAGATGTTGCTGTCAAGGTACACTTCTGAAAGTATTCAATTGTAAATAAAAAAAGTCTCAAGCAAAAATTAAGCAAGTGGAATAACTACACAAACATTTATACACATGCATGTAGTAGCACCTTGGTTGTGTGTCATGCTTTTGGTGAACTTTCTGTTTCACATTCCACAGAGTTATGTGATTGGATGGGAGGAGTTCTGCATCAATAAATGGCTGATTGGCTATTTGGTGGTAATAGCAGCATCAGTCATTGATTGGGCAATAACTGTTAGTATGGTCTGTAATGAGGTGAGTTTATCAAACAGTGCTCAAACCTTTTACATCTGATCTTCCACAAAATCTTGATAGCATTTAACACTTCATGTACACTCTATGTTGAAAAGTACATTGTCCATTTTATCAGCTCCACTTACTGTATAGGTGCACTTTGTAGTTCTACAATTACAGACGGTAGTCCATCTGTTTCTCTGCATACTTTGTTAGCCCCCTTTTAGCCTGTTCTTCAGTGGTCAGCACCCCCATGGACTTTCACAGAGTAGGTACTATTTGGGTGGTGGATCATTCTCAGCACTGCAGTTACACTGATGTGGACGCTGTTGGCTGGATATTTTTGGTTGGTGGACTATTCTCAGCCCAGCAGTGACTATGAGGTGTTTAAAACTGCAGCAGCACTGCTGTGTCTGATCCACTCGTACCAGCACAACACACACTAACACACCACTACCACGTCAGTGTTACTGCAGTGCTGAGAATGATCCACCACCCGAATAATACCTGCTCTGTGAGGGTCCATGGGGGTCCTGACCACTGAAGAATACGGAAAAAAAGAGCTAACAAAGAATGCAGAGAAACAGATGGACTACAGTCTGTAACTGTAGAACTACAAAGTGGAGCTGATAAAACGGACAATGAGTGTAGAAACAAGGAGTTGGTCATATTGTTAGGTCTCAACGGTGTATCTATACCAAATAATGCCTTAACAAGCTATGCAGTTTGTGCAAAACATGTAAAACTGCAATATATTCAAATCTAGTTGAGACAGTTTCACACACATGCTAGGCTTAGCAGTAAAAACAGTACCAACCGACACTGCTGTTGAAGACTGCTGTGCTGTGCTATATGATAGAAAAGCCACTCCTTACAAGTTACAGTGCATGACAACTCTGTTACGATTGCATTTGACCAGTCAGTGGTCTGCAGATTTCAAATGTGCTGGTTTGGTACGCTTGGCACCCTGGCAAGAGGGGTAACCAAATTTGATACAGGTACTTAGTAATGGTATTTGTCACTTTGACAAGAAAATTATGACAACATGTGAGATCCTGAATTTGTGACCAAATGGTGTCATACCGCACTGTTCAGTGGAAAAAGAGCTAAATGAGTGCTGCTTATCTTGCTTTAGTGGTTTGGTGGATGATAATGTTCCCTTTTTTCTATGATCCTGCAGACCATACGAGTCAGAAGACTGATACGGCCCTTTTTTCTCTTGCAAAATTCCTCCTTAATGAAGAAAACTCTAAAATGTATCAAGAGGACTCTTCCAGAGATAGCAAGGTAACAGGGTTACAGCATTAACTGATTGTTAAACTACTATTGGCCAAATCCTGTTTCATGTTACATTATATTTTCCTTTTATAGTGTGATCCTGCTTCTGGCGCTACACTTGTGCTTATTTACCATGATTGGTATGCTGATCTTCCCCAGATCAGAGGTAATTATGGATCAAATCATTATTTACCCTGCCTTCTGTTCGCTCACACAGAGACTTAAGGCACCCAGGCATGCTTGAGGTGGATCTTCCGTCTAACAATCAATGTCATTACAGTTGCGAACGGCAAAATTTCATTTTCTTGCTGCAAGTGAACATTTCCATTGTGTTCTGTCTTTTGAAAGTCAGAATACTTGATTTTTAAAATGTAAATGATGAAAGTAAATGACGAAACAATTATAGTTTTTGCTGTCTAATGTATCAACAGGATCCAAAGAAGAATGGGGAATGGGAGACTTACTTTAGAAACCTACCTCGAGCCTTGTCCTCTCTGCTTGTGCTGCTCACAACAGCTAATAATCCAGACGGTAAGATTTGAGTAATATTTTGAAATATGAGTGAGCTGTTTACTGGGTGTCATGACAGTCGTGTCAGGTGGCAAATGAATTATGTGTTGTGCCACAGAAAATTTTATTACTGTCATGTGCTCAATCATGACTACGGCTAGTTTGTCTCTGTCTTTTAAACGAGACTGTGAAAAAGTGGAAAATTTTACATGTAAGTCAGGTTTTCTCATTCCTTTGTCTCAAAGCCAAGTGTTGAGAATGGAATGAAGTCCAGTTCCTCTGGAACATGTTGCTGTATGGGTTAGTGTGCATTTTCCTCCTAAAACTATATTCATGACCAGCAGTTTCTCGTAAGACTAATATGGGTAGTAGGCCACTCGGTGGTTCAGGCTGCTTTCCAGCACCTAATGGTCAGCAAGCTAGTAAAAATATCACAGTACAAGGTGGCAAAAGACATGAGGTTTGTGAGCAAACAGACAAAATGCACCAGCAAAGTAGTGTCATGTTTCATGTCATGCCTAGATAAAATCACTTTCCTTTCAGCTGAGCATTTGCAAAAATAAACATTTAATTTTTAAGAAGGAACTGGACAAAGCATACAAGTGGTAAATAAATTAATAAAATAACATGACATAATGAGAGAGTATTCAGTCAGTTACTTGCTGCTGGGAAGTTTATGCGGTATACTTTTGTTGGTGTTGGTGGTAGGATCTCTGTAAATGGTCTAAATCTATTGGGGTCTGTAGTGATGACCTATGCAGTTGTTCTGTGTGCTAGCAGTACTGAAGATACCCAAGATACGCTCATACACCCATACATATTTGGGTGTTTTGGTGTAGTTTATTATTAAAGTGATCTTATCACTTGTTACATCATGTTGCCCACTCTTGTTAGCACTTAAGAGGGAAATGCACATTGAAGGGCTGAAGAGCAGCACCCTGCACATAGAGCTTTACCATTTTTGTCTCAAAACAGGGGTCTGAAGCCCTATTTTAGTCTAGATGTCTAGGAAACCTGTGTCATTTCCTCTTAAATGCATGTTTTTAATGCAGGTTCCCTTGTTTTGTAATATTTCTGTCCTTTTTTTTTCTCTCTCTCAACAGTGATGGTCCCAGCATACTCTTTGCATCGGGGTTATGCCCTGTTTTTTATACTTTTCAGTGTATGCGGTAAGTTTTCCAGACTCTGTATTATTTATTAGTACATGTAGTAACTCATCATTCTGTTTTACTCATCATCTAACTGCTCATTACTCATCTTTAACATGTTCTGTGTTCTTTTCTTTCAGGAACTTATATCTTGATGAATTTACTCACTGCTATCATATACAACCAGTTCAGGGGGTATCTTCTGGTAAATGTGTTTTTCAGTTTCACTTACTTCCACTTTCTGTGCTTATATTGCTTATATGAGCTTGAACCCCCCCCCTAAACTTTCCGACAAACATTGCTTTATTTTCAGATGTCAGTGCAGACATCCATAATAAGGAGGCGTCTGGGGATCCGGGCTGCATTTGAGGTGCTGTGCTGCAAGAGCCAAGGCCACGCCAGTAACTCTGAAGACCATGAGTAAGTCCCACTGTCCTCTCTGTTTGTGCAGATTCAGTGGACACCAGCACTCGCTCAATCTCCTTGCCATAATACTCAACAGGGCTGTTGGATGTACAGCCCACAGCTTTTAAAGAAAATGAGTTTAATTACAAATATATCAGTAAAATGCTGTACTCGATGTAGAACAGTTCGGTTTGTTAGGGGGAAAATGTTGCATGGGCATTAAATTGAAACCTGAGCCCAATTTGGAGACCTGACGAGGTCTGACGAGCACTGCTAAACTTTGAAGCTGCTTACGTGTGATAAGAGAAGGATCGTCACAGATGCTTTGCTTTTTTTATCAAGCCTTTGATGTGCTAGAAAATTACAACACTTTGCAACCTTCTCAGAAAGCTGACTTTCGCTTTCTTTAACTGGAGTGAGGCACTCTGTTGTCTGAAACTTCACACTAGTAGGTGCTGCGAGACGGCTGCATCCATGGCAAATGTGTTGCTGAAATGAGTGCCGGTCCTCCTGTTATCAGAGTTCAAAAGACTATTGAAAGCTGTACACTGTACGTGACCAATGTGCTCTTTATCTGATTTCACAACCAGGTCATAATTTTTCCACAGTGAAGATGTTCATGACTCATATGGAATTTTAAATAGTTCCCCTTTAGCAAGCTTTCTTCTCGATATTGTCCATGGTGAGCGTTTAGTAAGATGGACTTGGATGCTTGCATACTAGACCAGAGATGGAGAGAGTGAGAGAATGAAAGTATGTGCATAAGATAAATTTTCCGCACTCATGGATATTTATGTTGAGATATTTCTTCAAAAAAAAACAAGTCAGCTACATTTATCATTAGAAAACAAACTGGCCCATGAGAGGTGAACATAAGTAAATTTAGTACCTCACTTTAAATAAGTTTCATTATCTATGTTGCTTTTATCTTTTGTTCAGTTGACTGATAAATCCAGTGTACTTAAAATAAACAGAGAAACCTTTGTTTTGAATCTGGTTATTAGTTCTTTCTGTTAATTCAGAGTAAGCCTGTGTTTTCCTGTAATCTGCATAGTGATGTTCTGAATTTGATGTTGAACGATTTTATCAGCACAATTTCATACGATTGAGGCACTGTTGTCTAGATAATAATTATATATGTCTACATGATGATAACGCATCACATAATAATTATCATTCCACAATTGTTCTTTGTGTTGATATTCGTGGATTGTTCTGCAAGCCTGTAAGTTGTAGTTTCCTCATTTGTCTGAGTGAGATATGAGAAAACAATCTGCCAAAGATGCAAGCTTAATTAGATGTAACCCTTCCTTTTTGATAATCTTTCTTCGGTTCATATGTACCCATGTGTTTTTTGCCTTAAGAAGGGAGCACCTGTTAAAACAACCCAGAAATAATAAGCTAAGGGACAAGATGAGGCTATGTCTGAAAACAGCTTTCCTGAGGCCGCATATGTTAAACTGGAAAAATAATTGTGCGCCAGATGTGTATTAGAGATGGAACAGTATGAAAATTTAATATCACAAATTTATTAGTTATTTGTATTATCACAGTATTAAAATATGCTGCAAATGTTCAAAAAAGAACTGATACACAGCCTGAAGTCATTTCACAAAGTTTTATATTGACACCACAAATAAAATTAGCTGCACTGTGCACTTTTTATTTGCATAAACATAAAAATTATAACATGGTCAACACCTTATGTAAATATTTGAACACCATATCAAATGTCTATTAACATTAAAGATCACACCATGCAGCCATGAGAAGCTCATACAATGAAAACATGAGGGTGTTGTAACTTTTTAATGTTATTTTAGTACAGACAGAGTTTAATATTACTGCTTACCCCCGATAAGCTGAAATAGCCTTTCAAAATATCCTTTTTTTTTTTATATGAAGGTAACATTTTCTGATAAAGACATTTAGACCGTCAAACTGCCCTGCCTGTAGTTTAATACAGGGCTGAAGTCAGCTTCCTATTTGCCAGCTTCCTGTTCAAATTTACCCTTTCCACCTTAAATGGTGCCACAGTTACATCCTGGCACCTCAAGCGTTATAAGAACTGATGGACCATTCAAGGTCTAATGGGAAAATTCGAACAAGTAGCAGACGAATAAGAAGCTAACTTGAGCTTCTTAGTTTTAATGCTGGTAGGCTTTTTGAGGTGATTTAAGCTATAAAAATATCCTCCCTAAGGTTTTATGTATGAAGCTACCTATAAATATGCGTTATGGTAGCACAATTCCCGTATGTTCTTGGGGGGAACAATAACATGGACTGCGAGCGCATGTTGAGACCGCATCAGGGCACATTTGGCACTGTGTATATCTAAGCCTTGAGAGCTGAAATGCTGTTTTTTTCTGTTGGTAAATCTTCCGCATGTTTTGGCTCTGTGCCTCCATTTGCCTGCTGTCATTTTTAAAGGAACCTGCCTTTGAAACACTGCTACTAATTTACACATGGTTTTGAGAGGAGGAGAAGATTACATGCAAATCTGGTAGCCTCTTGTTGCATCAATGAACTTCAGTAAATCAAGTGGAATATGTAAACAGCTGCACCCTCAGTGTCTCCATCCATTTTCTGCACAGTCCTCCCTCGAATGCGTATGCATGAAGGAGAGAAATGCTTTTTGCATCTCACCTTGTATATAAACTGTGTTTAGACTAGTATGGCAGTTTCACAACACACTGTGAGGAGGAGTCCTATTTGTGCCTGAAACTGGCCCAAAAGGCTTAGTACAACTGGCTCTCAGTGTTTTAACTAAACATCATGTGCCATTTTGGGGACTATGCTAGCAGTCCTTCAGGTTAGGGAACACTTGGGTGGGCAAATTTAATTATAATTCCTTGGTTTTGATTTTCAGTATATGAATGGATAATGAGTCGATATTTTTTTTGGATTCATGCTCGGATATAAAGCGAGTGGAATCTAGGAATGTCTTTTCGGATGAACAGCATGGGTCACCTTCTGATGTCCACTTCTGGAAGTAAGCCATTTGCACCACTAAGTGATGTGTACATCTCATGTTCTTCTGTGTGTGCTTAGAGAGGGGGTGCAAGTGAACACCGTGCTGGAGGTCATGAGCAGAGTGCAGATGAAGTCTTTCTACAGACAAGCTGTCATTAAGGTGAGTCCAGAGTTTCAATCTAGATCATTTAAGCATTTCCCTGTATGTAGGCTCAACAGAGCTGCTCTGGAATGGGCTGTTCCATTTGTTGTCCTGTCCTTTAGGCTGCTCAGCAGTTCCGTGATGGCTTTCTTGACGGTGAGGCTTTCCAGAAACTGTTTGACGAACTGGACAAGGATCGTATCAAAGAGGTAGGAATTTCCCCTTTGAACAGTTTTCTGTTGTGGGAAGTCATTTTTTCATAAACATCTAGATACCATAATGGAAACTTTGCGTGTCATATTGTTTCCTGGTGCATCATTTATAGTGCAAAGAACTGGAAAGTCTTGGTTATAAAACACTTGGAATAAGGGGTGCACAATATGTTGTTTGTTAATTGTTAACATGATGTTTGCCTTTACAGTGCTGATATCATAGAAGGCAGCAATATACAAATGACCCTTCTAACCTATCACAATTGTTTTTTTACTGTGTGCTGTGAGCATTTTGACTAATGACAGCTTCAGGGTACCGTTTCTGTGGGTATTTTGTAGAATCAAGGTATTTATGTAGTCCAAAAGTCGGGAAGTAAAATATTTCAGCAGAAATAGTGTAGGCCATTTTTAAATCATGTGGCAGTGCATTTTTACAATGTCCATTACAATGTCAATTACAATGTCTATCAAAGATGCATTTTTTTTTTATTTGACTGGGACAATACAGATAAGCATTGTTACATAAAATACAGCACATGTAATGTATATAGGGCATCTAGCTTAAACTAATTTGCAGCTCCTGTCCCTGGTTGGTCTTGTAGAAAGAAAGATTATAAAGCCAAAACAACTGTAGACACACTAAAGTTTAAAACAGATATTATATCTGATCACAGATGATCCAAAACATAATCTGCTTTATCCCAGATGTTGGACAACCAAGGTTTATCGGTGCACAAGGGGCAATCCTGTCTGATCTGAACCGACAGAAGGGCACAAACCACAGATATGTTTAATGACAGTTACAGGAGGAAAGTGTCGCAGTGCACCTGCTGCCTATGGGGCTGTGTAGATGCAGACCAGTTAGAGTGTCCATGCTAACCCCTGTCCACTGCTTATGCAGTGTGGGGAGAAGCCGGTGGAGGGAATATGATGCTCTGCTGGAAGACCCTGGTCCGCGCGTTCATGTGGACGACAGTTTGTCATGTGCCACCCACTTAAACATCATTGCGGACCAGGTACACTCCTTCATGGCAGTGGTAGTCCCTGATTGCAGCGGCCTTTTTCAGCAGGATATTGCGCCCTGCCGCACTGCACACATTGGACTCATTTGCCAACCGTTCTTGAGAAGAAATTCCTTCTTAAAACCCATTTATGCAGTTTTCACGAAGATTCTGAGATTCACCAATGTTTTCTATCTTGGGATTTGTTCTTAGGTAAGAACAGAATCTACACACACTCAAGAGCGCAAAGGTGTGAACAGTTCTGCGGTTTAAGAACACGTCATGGATCTGACGTAGACTTTTTCTTAGGACCTTTCTCAAGAACACATTTAAGAAAAAACCTAGGAAGATGTTGGAGGATGAGGCCCATTGTTCAGGAATGGTTTGAGAAACACGACGAAGAGTTCAAGGTGTTGTCCTGGCCTCCAAATTCCTCAGGTCCCAATTCGATTGAGCATCTATGGGATGTTCTGGAGCAACCAGTCCTATCTGCGGCGACTCCACCTCACAACTTACAGGACTTAATAGATCTGCTGTTAACATCTTGGTCCCAGATACCACAGGGCATTTTCAGAGGTCTTGTAGAGTCTAAGGCTGACCAGCAGGTCAAAGCTGTATTGGCAGCATGCAGGGAAACGGTGTATTAGGCAGGGGGTCATAATATTTTGGCCCACTGGGGCGTGTGTGTGTGTGTTACATTTTTAACTGAGGATCCAAAGTAATTCCTGGACATTTAAACTCCTTGGCTTTCTCAATTCTTCAGCATATATTTACACATCCTCCCTGTTCTTTTTGTCTAATTAAAAACACATTGGAACTGTTTTAGTTTCTAATTTAAAGTCAGGTAATAATTATTAAGCCACTGAGAAATCCTGACGATTTGCTCATTTAATAATTCTGCTGCCTTCTGTGGAGTCTTTGCTGATACATAAATGATCGTAATTTCCGTACATTTTACGCTCTGTCCCTTTATTTTTAGATAAGTCATTTATGTAAAAGCAAAAAAGCAAAGGACCCAGAACTGAGCCTTGTGGAATGCCCATACTTTAACTTTGAAGAGATTACTTCACATCATTTACTTTAACACATCGGCTCCAACATTCCAAATATGACGCACACCAACCTATGGGTTGTTAAGAGAAGCTTCTAAAGTTTGTTTATAAGTATTTTATGATTTATAGGATCGAACACTTTCTTGAGATCTAAAAATACTGCTCCCACTGCTTTACCGTCATCCAGTGAACTTTTAATAACCTTTAACAATAACTGTGATGCTGTTATTTCCTTCGTAACATCCAGTCTTTTTTTTGCACACCAGCACCCACCAAGTCCAGAGTACAGCTTGCCATTACTACAGTGGATCCAGAGTACCTGTAGTCATTACTACCTCACTGTGGTGGGAAATGTGGTAGCACTGGCAAATGTCATCTGCATCTGTGTAAGTAGCGTCTTTCGTATTTTTTAAACAAATATCCTTAGATATTTTCTAGTGTCACCACAAACATTGATTGATTATATTTAGATTTTTAAAGGAGACACAATGAAGAGAAACAGGAATTCATCTGTAATGATTAGTGACACCTTGTGGCTATTGTGTGACACTACAAACTTTATTAACTAATGCTCATAAATCTATGATTGTGAACACATGTCGCTTGGCCTTTCTAATTCACACATATACTCTTAAGTAATAAGAGGCTTTCCTAGAGACATAACGGGCAGTTGTCTTGAAGGTAAAATCTTTCAGCCGGTTGCTAAATTGCGTAAAGTGGATACTTACAGAGGTTTGGAACAACAGAGGTTGTGAAACTAAAGAAGACTGGTCATTTTATGAAGTTCCTTGTTTGTTTTTCTTTGTTGATTGTATTTGTTGGAGGCATATGAATTATTTGTATATGAACTTTTTTTATTTGTATATGAATTAAATACATTTTGCTGGCATGTGTCTTATGTCTGTGTGAATAAGACCTTATGCAGTGTTATTATTTAGAAAACTCTATGAACTCCTATGTTTTGCAGACTGTCTTGGTTCTAGATTCAGAGAAGATTGTGTCTCAGAGGGATGACTACTACATGGAGGTAACTGACTAAATGATAACTTACTGTACATCTATACTAATCTTATGCTAAATTTAAGACTTATTCATTTTCTGTCTAAAATATTACCTTCAAAACATTTTTTTAGATGGACAAACATTACGTTTGAAATGGTGTTAATGTCGTTTTTTGTTTTTTAATCTAGGTCATAAATTGTGCTTTCATCCTATATTACCTTTTGGAGATGGTATTGAAGCTGATTGCCTTTGGTTGGAGAGGTTACCTCTCTTACAAAAATAACATCTTCGATGGGCTCTTCACGGTCCTCCTGCTGGTATGTTTCATATACATATATTTTATGTTTTTTTAGAAAAAATAATTAATTGTTTCTTGTTAAGACAAACTGCAAGACTACAATAAAAAGCATAAAATATCTCTCTATTTTTTGTCAAATAGGTTCTCCAGGTGGCTATTTTTATCACATACAGGATTTCCTATCAGTTGTGAGTATCATTTATTTGTTTAATTTACAGTATGTGCAAAGCTGTATGATAAAGTAATGTACTTGATGATATAGTAATGCACTTGATCACAAAATGGACAAAATACAAACAAAATAGTGCTGTGATGACAGTGGAACATCGCAATATGCTCTGCAATATACTAAGAACACCTTATTGAATCAATAACGTGACTTACTTAAGGATCGGCTAACATTATTTTGACCAAACAGTACCTCAGTTCATGATGCTCAAAGTTCACAGTAAAACATGCTGATTGGTTAGCAGACTCATTTACATTATGCCAACTGTGATATCAGTACTACAATCAACAAATGATACACTGCAATTGAAATATATCTGTTAATTTTTTTAAACATTTTCAGTTTAAAAAATGGTGACTATTCTTCTCAGGATACCAGTTCAGAAGGGCGTGATGTCCCTGTGGGAGATGGTGCGTCTGGTCAACATGCTGATTGTCTTCCGTTTCCTTAGAATCATCCCAGAAATCAAGGTCAGCAGCAAAACCTTCGAATGAATGACTTGAGCATGTTTGTATGTAAGAGGGTCTGTCTATGTCTGTTTATTGGCAGTGCTTTGTCACCATCTAGTGGTTAAAACTGTGTATTGTATGTACTTAGTAAATGAACGTAGAGAGCAGCCAAGCTGCTCAGCTCTTTAGCAGTTTGACCACATTTCATGCTACATATTATGGATGTATTGCTTTAGTTTAAAGAGGAAATCTGCAGATTTTTTTTTGAATTAATTAATTTTTTTAATTTCTGCATAATTCAATCATTTAGACGTAAATAAAGTTATACAGAGTTTTTTTTTATAGTTCCTTGTAGAGAAACATATTCACTTATATTTTCTCCACAGTGGTGGTTATGGGAACCAGGGGTCGTGATTTAGTAGATGTGTAATGTTGATAATGGTAAAGTAGTGATAAATCTATAAAACAATGTTCCTTAGGTGACTTTTTTGCCTTACTATGCCTTGCATTTACCTATCTACCATTAATGTTAATTTAAAAATAATATATGTTTTAGGACAAAACCTTCTCAAAACTATTGGAAAACAGTGTCTCGGGCATTAGGCAGCATATTTGTAAGTGTTTTATGTTGTAACTTTCTGTTAGGGAGCTTTTAGAGGTATTAATCTCTTCATATGTCTGGTTCCTGTCACCACCACGGTGAACAATTCTGACTCAGTACGTTTCTCTATATTGTAATATTTTACATCAAATCATTACTGAATGAAAGTCTGACGGACTTTGATTACATCTTAACCATTTTAATTATGCAGAAATGTTGAAAAAAACTATGGAATTCTCTATTAAGTTCTATGGTATGATGTGTTCTTTAAACCATCATATATACTTTTGTAAAATATGCATAATAGTATGTCTACTACTATAACTACTACTACTACTACTACTACTACTACTAATAATAATAATAATAATAATAATATACTGTTAATTTGCATTTTTCTTCTGTTTGTAGTTGATGGCTCTGGTCGCCAGTACTCTTGTGGATCTTGTGAAAAACCTGCGGGCTTTTGCTGGCATTCTGGTGGTAAGTGACCTCAGATAGAAAAGGCAGTGCTTTAATGCTGTCAGCCGTGACTGTTTGAGGCGCCAGTCTTCACACATATGACTTCCCTCTGTTCTGTGATGTAGGTGGTGTACTATGTGTATGCAGTTATTGGTATCTGGCTGTTCCATGGAGCTATTCCCCCTCCAGGAGGCCCAAGGTACAGTCTAGAAATACACTGGTTGGAAACAGTTACTGTTACTGTACCAATGTGTTTTAGTTCTCTTCTGAACTTCTAAAGGGGAATTTCACTGTTTTCTGGGAATTTTCACTGTTTCCCCTGAAATTTCAGTAGAAGGTAATTCAGAGTGGTTTGATGTGAAAGGCGCCATTCTAGAGAAACTTGTCAATACTTACTAGACGTCTGAAGAGTTCAGTGCCTCTAATAGCTACCTCACAGAAAGTTATTGTATGAAATGGTTACAGATATGTTTCCCTAATGAAACATTTGTTTTTTGGTAGTTGTGACATATTTTTAACAAGGTGTTTTAAGGTAAAATCATACCCAAAGAAAACACATGGCACTATTTTAGCATTATCTGCATTACGTATAAAATAAAGTATTACATATAAGACAGAAGTAGGTTCACTGGTCATTTTGGGTAGTAAAAAGGCTATATTTGGTTTGTAGACATTGCAATCCCTGGTTTCTGTCACCACCACTGTAAAACGAAGAAAATCTGCATCAGAGAGTTTCTGTACAGTGCACCATCTTGCATCAAAACACTCAATTACTTTTTTCCAGTTATTTGAAAAAATTTCACGTTTCAATGATATTCCCCTTTAACGATGAACTGCCAAAACACAATCATGAAAAAGCCAGATGTAAATGCAACCAAGACACCGTACACCTCAGACAGACACTACAGGAAGTGGTTTGAGATGCATTGGAAATACAGCTGAGAGCAAGAACAGTGCAATACACTGTATGTTCAAACGTTTGTAAACACCTGCTCATCCAACATTTCTTACTAGATTAAGGGTATTAATGGGGCATTTGTCTCAGCAACAGCTTATACTCTTCTGAGAAGACTTTACTATAGAGTTTGTAACATTGCTGTGAGGATTTGATTGCATTCAGCCACAAGAGTGTTACTGAGGCCAGGTACTGATGTTGAATTTTTAGTTCTGGATCATGAGTGCCCCTCATTTCACAGATATTGGACAGATATTGGATGGAGCTTTACCACTCTAGAGAATGAAGTTCCACGGCTTCACAGCCCAATGATGACGAGATTTATACATGCAAAGATTTATACAGAGCTTTTAATTTTATAGAATTCATAATTGATGATGTAAACTACATGCAACATGTCCCATCACCTTTTCCACCATAAGTGAAAAAGCTGCAGCTGTTTTTTCTCAAATTTATATAAAGTGCATAATTGCAAAGATCGAATTTCTCTGGCAGCATTGATACAGTACTGATATATTGATACAGATTTCTGTCAGTCTGTATTGTCTGGACAGTATCCAGATATGAGATGCGTAAATAGGCTGTGGATTAACTCTACCAACAGAGAACATCATATGTACAGGCTGTACATGTTATTAGCAGTGTTGTTTGAAAGACTCTACTTGGTGCTTTAACCAGCCATTCCTGACTGAGGCTTTAACATCTATGCTATGGCTTCTAACTGTGAGTGGTCTTGAATTATGTGTATCCCTTGTAGTATGGTCTCCAATTCAAGTATCGAGAACGGCACATCCAACTTTACCATGGAATGTGGCTCCTATGAACAGCTGGAGTACTGGCCAAACAACTTTGATGACTTTGCTGTAAGTATAGCAGCATGAGATCAGTTAATAAACTAATACAGACTGATGTGGCAAGGATAAAAAGAAGATAAGAAGTCAGTTCAGAAGAAAGATTATTGTTTTTGTGAAGTTTATTTTACATTCATTTATGTTATGTATATAATTGTGTAGTTTAAATTATTTTTTGTTATATTAACATTGATATTTTAAGCATAAGCAGATTTTAGTGTTCATAGTGATCAGTCTTTTTTCTCTTTTTCTTCAGTCATCTCTAGTTCTTCTGTATGACGTCATGGTGGTGAATAACTGGCAGGTCTTCATGGACGCTTATACTAGATACACTACCGAGTAAGGCAACAGCTCCAGAAGCTTAATGGTTTTACTTTTATGGTCTTTGCTACCTTATAATTAACTTTGTCTCTGCAAATCTGTAATGACCATGACTCTGCTTGTCACAGGTGGTCAAAGGTGTATTTTGTGTCATGGTGGCTCACCTCTTCTGTCATGTGGGTCAACCTGTTTGTGGCACTCATTTTGGAGGTAAGATGATATTGGCTGCTATGAATGTTATTTTACCAAGAATGAATTTCCGTTTTATTTTGTTTGTGGGTTTAAAAAAGCAATACTGAACAGTATTGTTGCCATTTTTAAAGCAACTAAAACTGACTTAGAGGCAGTTAGAATTAGCAGTTTAGCAGTTTGCATGATGATAATACATACTTTAAATTCTTTTGCTGGTCTCACTTACAGTAAGAAACTGAGCCTGATAGACACTTATCTATATACTTTTTGCCACATTGTGCTTTTATATGTTCCAATAATTTCTTTTAAAGGTCCTATTTCGTCTTTTTTATTTCCATTTGTATTGTTTGCCTGTTTTGTAAGCAGAGAATGAATCATCAGAATAATTACTAAATTACTCTATTGTTTAATGTTCCAGAACTTCACCTACAAATGGGACAAGAGTCATGCATTAAGTGTATCTGATGTGGAAAGGACACGCTATGAGACCACAGTGCAGCGGATGTTCAGGTACGTTCCTCTGGGTTTTATCGCTGCTTTGCTGCTGTCAGAGTACCCTGTGTCACGTGTGTCACATTCTAGTCCTGGCAGGCCGAAACACTGCAGACTTTAGCGCTCCTTCTTATCTAACACACCTGATTCAATTCACCCGCTAATTAGCTAGGCCTTCATGAGCTGAATTTAGTATGGAAATGCTAATCTCTGCAGAACTGTGGCCTGGAAGGACCACATTTTGACATCCCTGCGCTAAATCATTTTGCATCTGTTGCAGTTTCTGTCCTGTGCTTGACAATTACTTTGTCTGAGCATGATTTAGACTATTCACATTTGATTCACCATGGATTTTATGTGCTATTTTAAGGTATATTTGCAGGCCCTCAGGCTGCTTTTGCATTATGGCTAATACTGGCTAAAGTTTTTGCTGGAGGCTGCTATGCATGATACTGTTTTGGGCCTTGAATCATTCATATGTGATCTGATTCATCTAAAGAGAGAAAGCTTTGGCATTGCCACTCAGAATTTGAGGTACAGTGTGATTTCAAAGATGCATAGATATATTTTAATGTATACATATCCTAATATTTTAATTGTTCAGAGATTTTTAATGGCAGGTTGCTATTGTTTATCTGGATATCTGCAAAATAACCATAAGCAAGCAAGGAAAGTCACAGTCTTAATAATACATAATGATACATAGCCTATTTAGGTTATTTCATTGTTAGACAAAGGTGCTGGTAACAAAAATGCTAATATTAAATGACAGTCTTTAGTTTAAATTATTAAATCTGAAAGTAAAAACAGCTGCCCGTTTGCAGTTTATCTAGTACAAGCCAAATTTCCCAAAAATGATGTCTAGACAGCATCTTTCAAATCATTTTTTACTTGCATTAACTCAGGGTATCGGTAATTGAGATGGAATGGCTTTCTTACATATTGCACTTTCACTGGCATTCATCACTGTGCTGGCTTGCTTCCACAAATGAAGGCCATTGATTTGTCTCTTTTTGACTGTGTTGTGTGTTGGGCTGACTGTCGACCCCTGATTTTCCTGATTCTGCGAAACTAGCTTGTTTCCAATCCCAACATGCCTAAGACACTTTCACTCACCCTGTAATGTCTTGCCGTCTTAGTTACCTCATCCTATAACATCAAGTGATGTAACCATCTTTATATTCTCGCACCTCCCACTTCCTCCTCAGAGAGCACGTCCAAGAGCCAACTCAGGAGGAGTTACTGGTCCAACTTCAGCAACACCCCCATCTCCACCTCACTCGGTGACCCTAAGCCCCACCACACAGCCACAACCACATGTGCCAAATACTCCAGCTCTCCACCATGTCCCACTCATGGATGCACGTTTACATTTCCACTGGACCCGTGCTGGGAAGTGTAGTGTTTGTACCCCTTATGGGTCAAGACTGCTGTTGTGAGTTTCATCTTGTGGGGCATTTTTATCTTGATGTTTTTAAGTGGCCTTGATGCCATTTGCTGCTGGGTTTTCATTTTCATGTGACTTGTTTTGTGTTGAACACAGGACTGAAATTGTGAGACATGCTAATACCCTGCAGGCACTTTTTTGTGTGTGTGATTTTTATTTATTTATTTTTTAATGCTTTTAGGACAGAATCTATTTGACCTTTCTTTTTGGCTCAGTGTCCTGGGCCAGTTCAAAGTGAAATGAGCCTATTTTTTATTTTTTTAGACTTTGTAGGCAGATTAAGTTTTAATACAATACAATTCAGTGTGGTGCAGGTTTACCCAAACTAAGGAAATAACATCTTGACGTTTGTCAAGCAGTGTAATTTGTAATGTTTTCACCTTGAGCATCTTTTAAAGCTTGGGTGGTGTTCATTACATGGTCAGCTTGAGTTCACATCTCACTGACAAGCAAAATGCTAGTAGCATCTTTTGGCTACATTCAGACAAACAGCAGCCAACAATTGCACAGCAACAGCACGCTGATATTTGGAGCACCTCCAGAAACACTTCTATTTCAGTGCTGTGCCAATCACTGCTGAGATGTGAATAATTCAGCATTGTGGATCAGCTCTGTAGAAGTACATGTTTAAAAGCTTGTGAAGGGGCTTTAGCCTGGATCTTTTTGCACACTAATATGTTACCATGCGTATATAAGTGGCACCTTACAGAAAGCAGTGTGACAGCCATGACCTCAGAAAAGCAGATGTTATTTAGTGTAAGTTGTAAGCTGTCTAGGGAGGAAACGCTGACCTGCATTTAGTTTGCCTGCTCCTGTCCACATTGGCCAAGTCAACATTAGCTTTTACAGCAGGAGTAAAGCAGTGGGTGGCATGCTGATGACCCTGCTAATCCATTCCCAGATAACAGTGAATAACATACCGTGCAGTGTAAAAGTAATGAAATGCAAATCGAACCTTAAAAAAAATCTTTTTTTTAACAAAATATTTATGATTGCTTGGTTGTCATGATACGGTTCAAACTTTAACAAACCATTAATGAGCCATTAATTACTTTGAATTCTCCATCTTTGGCAGACTTTTAGCAAAACTCAAATGTAATGACTGAAATAGATTTCAGTTCAGAAAAAGAACCACTGTGAGTGATTACTTGACAGAGATGTTGATCAGACAAATGCAATATGTCAATGTAGCTTGTGTTTACACTGTAGGCTATTACATAATCAGATCATTTTGAACAAATAATGTTGAACAGCTGGCCCCTGTTTTGGAACACAGTTGCATTTCCACAGTTGAGGCTGGAATGAAAAGGGACAGAGCTTTTACTTCATTTCTACAGAGGTGTCATTAGTGTGTTTAGTAACTCTGTGTGAATGTAAATATGATTTTAATGCATTTTTTTTTTATTGTAGCTAAAAAGTCAGTATGGATGTATTGACTAATTTTAATGACTTCATGACTTTCAGTGAAGACTGTAACATACCTTATCATATCATATGTCTTTGATACCATCAAGTGATTCACAATGTCATGAAATATATGAACTAAACTTTGATTGCTGTAACAACTGGTTTAATTTGTCTGTTGTGGTTCCATCTTTATCTCTACCCTTTTCTATCCAGCTGACTTAAATAAGAGTTTGTCTCACTCTTGTGGTTGCAATACATGCATACGTGTAAACTTTTTATTTATTTATATATATATATATATATATGTATGTGTGTATATATATATATATATATGTGTATATGTGTGTGTGTGTGTGTGTGTGTACATGTATATGTGTGTATATGTATATATGTGTGTGTGTGTGTATGTATGTATATATACATGTATGTGTGTGTCTGTGTGTGTATATGTATGTATTGTATATATTAGAATACATGGGTGGGAAGGTATACAAGCATAAAAAGGAATAATGCTCTGACAGTGTTTCGTTATATGAATTCTGCCTTCTTCAGGATGCTCTCATTAGCCAAACACAAGCAGCCTAGTCCCCAAGACAGATTAAACATTGACTTGTACAGCTGAATCAACCGGAAATCAAAGCTGACCTTTTTACCTTTTTGTCCCATTGAGTCCTGTTAAGCACAGTTCATTTAATTTAAAATGCTTGTTTTCCCCTAATCTTCTATCAAAATGTAATTACTTTTGCCCACGTCTGTTGATTTCTGATTAACATTATTATTATTATTATTATATTGCAAATCATGACAGTATTATAGTCATTCAAAATATTGATGTAATTGGTTAATATTTATATCAGTTTTAACCCCTATTTTACCTTTATGATATTTAGTGTTTTATGGCAGGTGGGAAATTAGCGAATGTTTTTTGTTTATGGTGAAAAGTGCGTTTGCCCCAGCGGTGCAGAAAACCTGCCATTCAAAACAGCTGATGGCAAAACGGTGTAGTTGCATCAAATATTGTGACAATAAGCTTGTGAATTTAAAATAAGACATTTCCTACTGTTTATTATAATGCAATCCACTTATGTCCCCCACCCCACCCCTTTTTCATTACAGTTGACTTAGAGGACTAAACACACAAACACACCCTCTCGCATGGGGCATGTTTACCCAAAACAGTCTGTGGTTGACAGCCTGACGTCCTGAGGGACACACATCAAAGTGCCTCTCCCACCCCAGCCCCAGTGCGCATGCCGAGTCCCGCTATCACACATTCCCCTTTGTACACAAACACAAACATGCCCCCCCCGCCAACTGTTTGTTTGCTTTCCCTCCTGATTTGACATGGAATGGCTCTCAACCTCAAACAAATCACCGTGGCCTGACCCAACCATCACTGTGTTGAGTTCACTGTCCATTGCCTGTGACATATCTGCCATATTGTAGTGCTATCAGAAAACATGATACTACACCAATTAGGCAGTCAGGTTGCTTTATAAAGCTATAGAGCTATAGATAATGCAGATTAACCCAAAACGGCTATGCTTACAGACTGTTGATGTTGTATTGAGTTCCATCCAACATGGTTAAATATTCATTGCTTTTACCAAATTATTTACATTTGTTGGCTTAAGTGAATGTCCTGGTTCATGCACAGAACATCTGTGATTTGGCTGGGCGCTCACAGAACACAATAATACATTCAGTGGTTAGAGGCTCCTTTGTGTATTGCAGACTGTGGTCTCGGTTTTGTGAAGACTTATTGCCTAAAGTATTAGCAGTGTGAGGACTATTCAGCCCTGGTGTCGGGGAGTATTGCAAATGTGTAATGAAGTGGACAGTTGGACTTTTCAAGCAGATGCTTCCTTTTAGCAAAATTAACATCACTGATCTGAAGCTGAAAACAGCAGCACGTGCAAGGCCCTTTGTTCTATACTGACTGCTGCCTCCTGCACTGATGTTTTAGTGATTAAAAGTGCAGAAAGTTCACTCCTCTGCCTTCCTGTGCTCTGACCAGTACTCCAGAGTGAACCACTGCTATAATATAGTTTTAGAAGCTCCATTAGCATTATTTATTGATTATTCTTGTAGTTTTAATACTTAAAACACAAATTAAGGTAAGCATTAATAAGCCATAATCATTTATTAATTTATTGTTATTCATTATTTAATTTATTCAATTCATTCATCACTGTAGTTGGAACATCTAGTGTGCTGTGTCATTGTATTGTATTGTATTGTATTGTACCATATCATGATGCTTGTATCTTGATAGGTCCCCAGCCCTATCAGAGTGTAGGTTTTATTGAAATTTACTTAAGCTGACATGTTTTGTTTTTTTTGTGATCAATGTTTGTCGTGTGTTATGTGAAGCTTACATTCCTCTCCAATGCAGACAAACATTAATAAGAAGCTGACAATATTTTATTTGTATAATGATAAATACAAGAAAAAATTATAATAGAGGCTGAAGGAATTCAAATTTGTTATATAATAAATAATATAATATTAGTAATAATTTTTATTTATATAGCACTTTTCATGCTGGTAAAAGCTCAAAGTGCTTTACAGACAGGCAGTAAAGCTTAACAGAAATACAAAAAATTCTTAGTACTAATTTAGAATCATATAAGAAAATGACGCAGATCAAATATAAAGATAAACACCATGAGAATTAGAGTTTTAATGAGCTGCTAAGTTAAAGAGAGACATTTTTAGGTGCTTCTTAAAAGTGAGCACTGAGCTTGACTGTCTAATAAACGGTGAATTAAGTTCCACAGTTTAGAAGCAGAGTAACTGAAAGAGTCTCTCCATGCTTTCTGTATTTTACTGAAGGTGTTTGTAGAAGGTCAGTATCTGCAGATCTAAGATCATGTGCTGGATCATAAACAGACAGACACTCTGTGATGTAAACGGTGCTTTAAGGTCATTTAGAGCCTTAAAACTAGCAGTAGAACTTTAAAATCTATCCTGAACGATACAGGCAGCCAGTGCAGTACTTTTAAACCGGGAGTGATAAGATCTCTGTTTTGTTTTTGTGAGGATGCTGATGCGTTTAGCACAAGTTGTAGAGGATTTATTGTTTTCTTAGGAAGTCCAGTAAGAAGATCATTACAGTGATCAACTCTGCTTGTAACAAATGCATTAATACGTTTCTCTGCATTGCACTGAGATAGAAAAGGCCGAACTTTAGTGATATTTCCCAAATGATAGAAAGCTACTTTAGTGACTGTGTTTACATGTGGGAAATTTAAGGCGCACCAGGAAATAAACTGAATCATGATGTGCCTAGATACTCCCACCCATGCTTTGTTTTGTGAGTTGTATTGGAGAATGATTCCCATAGTGTTTGGGGGTTATTCAGGGGCTGTGTCTGTCTGTCCGATGCATGTCACCTGCCTGTTTACCACCATCAGAAGCTGGAATGTAGGCTATGCTTGTGATGACAGCTGTATAGTTGTGTCAGGCCCTGTGCTATGTGAGCTATTTGGTTGATGGCTAGTTCTCCCATGCTTATCTGGCCTCTGTACAGTGCTTCTTTGATGATTGAGATGTTTCCCACCACTACCTCTGCAGAGGTGTTCACCCATGGAATTCTGAGCCTGTAAGGCCTTGCCTCCCACTGCATTCTTTTTTGGTAAAGAGAAAGAAAGTTTTAACTGTCAAGAACTGTTTTACATACATTTCTCTCCTGTTTGGCGGTTACTTTCTCCATGTCTTTATGTTGGTAACTTAAAGTACATACAGTGACAGCATCTAGATAACCTCAAATATGGGTAAACAATAATAGCCAAACCAACTTTAGGTATGTGCAGGTGCTTGGTCTTCCAAACACTGTAGTACACTGACTGAGTATATTTGAATTTGCACAATTGAAGTGCGCAATTTTTTCACACTTGAAATAACCTGTGTGACATACTTCTTTCTGATTATTGTTGCCGTGGGGAAAATCTTTGACAAACATCATAAATTAAGGTTCCTTCTTGAAAATCGCATGCTAAGTTGGCATTAAAAGGTTTTATCTGCATTTCAAGTCAGGTAACTAAAAATGTTTAGAAGATTAATTGTTAATTAGCTTTAATACTAATAAACAATTTGGTAAAGAATTGTGTGTGATAAACTTACGTTTTTAAGATTTTTCATAGAAGTAAAACTGCTGATTGACCAAGTAGTTTAAAATATAGGCTACTGTTAATTCAACAGCAGTGACTTAGCCAGCAACACTCATTGCTAATGTTCACTACAGTGCATGGTAGCCAACTGATTGAAACTGATCAGCTGAAATGGAAATAAAACAAGGTATTAGTAAAGTTACAATGTATTTGACATCAGTTAGCCAACTTGCTAACTTATTTATTATTTATTTACTTTATCTGCAAAGCAGCATTTAATGTATTTTTAGTTAACCTTTATTTTCAGTTTGAGTGTGCATAATACTGACATGGCTCATAGAACCTGTGCAAATATTTGAAAATAAAATGAACACGCTACATTACACAATATACATTATATTACACCAAATTACCTGTTTGTATATTTAAAATAATTGACATATTCCTGACAAGAGAGTTCAGGCATAATTTCACTGAAAGATTCAGAGAACTTGGGCAAATGTATGTGTGTGATGGCCAAGGCCGAGACATGCCTTCTAGACAACGTCTTTTTCAGAGATGTCCATGCTTATTTCAGCGTGATGATGCCAAACCACGTTCTGCACGTTACAGCAGAATGGCTGCAGAATTAGAGAGTGCAGGTGCTAGACTGGACTGTCTGCCGTCCAGACTGGCCTTTCATTGAAAACATGGTGCACTGCGAAGTGCAAAATAGGGCAAAGACCTTGTATGATAACACAGCTGAAGACTTGTATAACAGAAGCAGGGCAAAAAATAAAGTTTGCAAAATTGTATCAGTTGGTTTCTTCAGTCCCCAAATGATCATAAAAATGGTAAGTTGCTCATGTCCGAACTTTTTTGCCTTGGTTCTTCTTGTCTTTTTTGAGGTTTTGAAAAGAAAGTGGAGGGGAAAAAGCTTGTTTAAACTTGTGTGTCTGTGTGTGTCTGTGTGTGTTTGCTGTTTATCTAATGAGGCTACAGTTATGAAATCCTAGTTGACAGGTGGCAGGGCTGACATTCCTAAGCCTCACCTGCTGTTTGCACCTTCTT